CCCGCCATCACCTTTGTCCCTGTAGTTCGGGATGCAGTCGAGTACATGTTTAGCAAACATGCAACAGATGAACCTTCGTCAAGTGGCATAGATTCTAACCCGAGCCCCTCTCGGTTCATTTCCCAACAGGAGGAACACGAGGACAAAGCTGGCAAGAAAAGAAAGCTTGCTGAGCATGAGAAGCAGGCTGCAAAGGAAGCTGAGAAGGCGAAGCAAGCAGCGAGAGATGATGAGAAGGCAACGCGGGCAGAGAGAGAGGAGGCAGCCAAGGAGGCTGAGAAGGTGAAGGCAGCGAAGGAGGCTGAGAAGGTGAAGGCGAAGGCAGCCAAGGAGGCTGATAAGGCGAAGGCGGCTAAGGCGGCTGAGAAGGCGAAGCAAGCAGCTAAGGAGGCTGAGAAGGAGAAGGCAGCTAAGGAGGCTGAGAAGGCCAAGCAGGCAGCTAAGGAGGCTGAGAAGGTGAAGCAGGCAGCTAAGGAGGCTGAGACGGCGAAGAAGGAGAAGGCAGCTAAGGAGGCTGAGAAGGCCAAGCAGGCAGCTAAGGAGGCTGAGAAGGTGAAGCAGGCAGCTAAGGAGGCTGAGAAGGCGAAGAAGGAGAAGGCAGGTAAGGAGGCTGAGAAGGCGAAGCAGGCAGCTAAGGAGGCGAAGCAGGCAGCTAAGGAGGCTGAGAAGGCGAAGGAGAAGGCAGCTAAGGAGGCTGAGAAGGAGAAGGCAGCTAAGGAGGCTGAGAAGGAGAAGGCAGCTGAGGAGGCTGAGAAGGAGAAGGCAGCTAAGGAAGCTGAGAAGGCGAAGGCAGCTAAGGAAGCTGAGAAGGCGAAGAAGAAGCAGACAAGGCGCGCGACTTCAGCAGAGAAGGAGGCTGAGACAGCAAATGCTGAGGGCTTTGTCACACCCCCGGCAAAGAGGATCAAAGATAATGAGTCGCAAATGAGCTTCATGAGCGAGGGCTCTACAAGCACGGGTGGCTCGGTACTGCCCTCCTCGCTAGCTGACCTTGAGCAGGCGATAGAGGATGCGCGGGAGGCAGGCTTGAGTTTGGAGGACTTCCTGCTCATGAAGTCGCAGCAGACTTTGGACGAGCAGGTGGAGGCGCGCATGAACGAGCTGATCAATGCTGAGGCAGCAGAAGCTGAGGAGAAAGCAGCAGCTGAGGAGAAAGCACCGGCTCAGGAGAAAGCAGCGGGTCACGAGAAAGCACCGGCTCAGGAGAAAGCAGCAGCTGAGGAGAAAGCAGCAGCTGAGGAGAAAGCGCCGACTCAGGAGAAAGCACCGGCTCAGGAGAAAGCAGCAGCAGCTGGGGAGGAAGCGACAGCTGAGGAGGAATCATCAGCTGAGGAGGAGGTGGCGTCAGAGCCATCAGGAGAAGAAAGCGAGGATGATGACAGCGGCAGCGCTGGCGAGAGCGACTGCGATGCGTTGGTGGCCTGCAGCTCTGAGGGCGAAGCAGAGGAACCTCTTTGAGTGAGGGTGGCAACAACAGCGAAAGCGAGGATCCGCCAGCCAGCGTGGAGAAGAAGCAGGGCAAGTCTAAAGCCAACACGTTGGCCTTGATGAGGTGCAGCGCGGAGGCGGAGGACAAGACAAAGCTTGCAAACAGCAACTTTGGCACGAAATCATATCAAGAAAGTGTCCCATAAAGTGGGGAAACATTTTGCAGTAGCAAGTGATGACCCCTCACACGCGTTGCAAGATGTGGAGAACGTTTCTTGAAAGCTGATGACCCCTTCTAAACTCCTGGCCTTTTAGAATTGGAGCGAAACCCTTTTTCGGGCAAATCTTGCTTCCAAAGCGCTGCATGGTAATTAGGCCCCTTGTTCCAAACCCCTACATGCGGGTGACAAACAGTTGAAACCATTGCTGTTGGTTATCTTTCCAAGCCCCCTACATTGGTAGCGAGACATTGGCAACAGATACTTTGCCCAAAGCCCTTCACGAGCTTGACCCTTCTTGTTTGAGGATGTTTGAGAACCCTTTCTGCACTAGCTGGTGGTGAATCCAAGCACTCTTTTAAGCAACGGGGTACAGGTTTGAAACTCAGAGAAAACGAACAGGTGCTGTTTGACAAGTAGAATTCATGTTGCAACGCGCCGCCTGCCAAGGCAAGACTCACAAGCGGGAGTGGGATGCCTTTTCGCGACAATGTCTCGATCGGCGCCAGTTCCCAACGCAGCTCGCGCCGGTGTTTGTCAAGTCCAAACTGGATTTGTTTCAGGAGTGGCTTCGCGCAGGGGGATCCTGGGAGAAGCGCTCTGGCTTTGAGTCATCACATTTTGTGTAAACATTATTTTGATTTGTCGGGCAGCCAAAATGACAACTAATGCATGGCAACTTAGGGTGTGCTTGGCGTTTGAGCGACGCACTGCAACATCCACACTGCACCGGCGACAGCGGCAAGGCACCAAGAAACGGAACATCATCGAGATCTATGGGGCAGAGAATCTCAGATTGATTCATAAGTCCATTCTTTGTGTTCAGGTGTCTTGGGTAGTCCCTCCCCTGAGAATAAAAAACACGGTCCTTCTCGGCGCAGCACCAGGAAGGGCGACGCGCTTTGCAAACGCCTCAAGGCAGCAGAGCTTTACGAGTACGACGAAGACTTTCCACAGGATGAAGAGGACCGTAGTTGGTTTGAGTTAAACCATCATGACCCCACTCCCTCACTCTCAAGACAAAAACCGTGCCACTGACTCAACTGTTACACCTCAATTCAAAAACAGTTTGATGTACTATTGAGTATATTTCCACATGCTGGCCACAACCCTTGCACGTTCTCTCCGTGGAATGGTTCCTTCTCTCAATGATTCAATGTGACTTTGAGGGTTTAAATCCTCCACTCGCTGCAAAACCCAGCCGCTGACTCATGGTTTTGCTCTAGTGGCAGGGGTTCCTTCTTGTAAATCGGAGACTTCAATTGAAGAAAATTACAGTTCGATCGCGAACATCTGGCAACCACATGTTTGCCCTGACCAGGAGATCTTTTACTTTGTGGGGCAAGGTGGCCTGCTGCGACGGGATCAGTCCACAGAAGAAAGCCTAGCTGTGCGTGTCAATGACACCAACCCCGATGAGGAGTTGACCCGAGCCTTGACGTCAGAGTTGGGCCCGTTGGCAAGCGGCGCAGTGCCTGGCATAGCTGGCGTCTCAGCGGCGGGCCAAAAGGCGCTGGCAGAGTCACTCACCAAAAGTGAGTGCGAAGCAGCGCCCAAAAAGGCACCAAAGCCCAAGAAGGTCAAGGAGGATCCGCCGATTGAGGCCCTGCCCAAGGAAACTCATGAGATTGCAGCTGCAAGGGCGCCTGAGGTTTTGAAGACAGCTACCGAAGCAAGGAAGTTTAGCATCTCTCTTCAGGATCTCCAATACGCCGGGGAACTCACCAACAAGCTCATGGTGTTCTCAAATCGGATGGAGGAGATCTATAGGCAGCTTCAGAAGCATCTTGCGGCAGGGGAGACCGCTGCCCACTGCTACACACAGCTGCTCAAAGAGATTGATGAGAAGGACGCTTGGTACAAGCAAGCCGAGGCCAGCTCTCACTTTTTGGATTGCTGGTCGAATCGGTTTACAAGCCCGGTAACAAATGCTTCGAGGGTTTTCACCCTCATTTTCAAAGGTGACATGTTGGATCGAGATCTTGTGTTGTGGTTGTAAAGGGAAATCAAAAGGAAACCGCTAAACCGACCCTGACCCTCCCACGGAAATCCTGAGCTGTTGTTTTTGGCCAAGAGGGGCATCGCAGAAACCCCCAAAGACTTGCAATATGGGTTTGTCTTGTTTGGTGTACCCTTGTGAGGTTGGTGTTTCAGAGAAACCAAAAGGAAAACCACTATTTTGGGGGGTCTCTTCCACCAAACCAACCCTGCCCCTCACACACAAATCCCGAGCTTCACGACAAACATTAAGGTCATCCCAGAAGATTTGCAACATATGAGTTCTTCCATCCCCCACCCTCGCACAGAAGTCCTGAGCTGCTAACACTGAGTTTTTCCACCCATCCAACCCCGACCCTCCCGCAGACATCCTGAGCTGCTGTTTTGGGCCAACGTGGGAAACACAAAAACAAGTTTATCCTCAAAGAATTGCACTGATGTTTGCGTTGGGGCAACGCAGAAACTATTTGGTTTTACCTTCTAGAGTTTTGCTTTGCTCAAGGGACACATGAAAACCATCAGAGTTCTTCCATGAAGCCAATCCTGACCCCCCCAAAGCCTGGGGTGTCTGGCAGTCGGGTAACGTGGATGGATGTTTTGTTATGACCCTCCCCCTCCCCCCCCAAAAAAAATATCTTCCCCACAGAGCTAGCCTAGTGGGACTCCATTGCCTCAATTTGGCCCTTTCCACCAACGCGCCTTCAATGCCTGCAGGCAGCTGCAAAGGCCATGCAATCCAGCCTGGGAGCGTCGAAGAAGACGGGCCGGAAGAGCGACGCAAAGAAAGCAGCGAAATCTAAGTAGGGTCTGCCTCAAGTCACCTAGGTTTGAAAAAATACTCAGAGGAACAAAACAAATAAAGCTCACTGCTCTGGGTGACTTGTTTTGGCAGTTTGTCTGCACTTTAGGTGCACTTTGGGAACCCTGGAAGCACCATTAGTCGTGCCTCCTCATTGAGTTGGCTTTGAATTGGGGTGTGCCTCCTCATTGAGTTGGCTCTGAATTGGTGCCCGCCAGTGTGAGAGTCCGCGTGCCGGAGAAAAAAGATTGCCCTTCGCCTGCAGCCTTGACACACAACGAGAAAGGACGGCATGAGCACTGTGACGTGTGCTGAGGTGCTCACAAGTGGAGCCCGCGCAGAAAGTCGCATCCGGGAAGGCCCGCCGGTGATGGGTTTGCTGTCTAGTTGTGGTGCTTGAAAGCCAGGCTGAGATCAACCCAATTTGAGAATATGCCGACTTCCCAAACCGCTGAAACGTACATCCGAGCCTGGGCGGGTTCTGATTGGATTCGAGCACACAAGTGTCATGCAGGAGTTTGCTGATTGCTTTGGCTTTTTGTTTGCATGCCTAAGGAATGATAGGAGAGGGCAAAGCCTCTGTGGCAGCTGTTGCTCAACTGGCTAGAGCCAACCTGGCAGATTTTGAAGCGGGTGCTCCCGCATCGGTGGCTGCTTTTGCATCGCTGGGTAACTTTGGGAATTGCCCGCAGAATGAAGAACGTGACCTTCACAGGTGGCTGAGTCAATTATTTTCCCTGAAGCTGTCCACTTACTGCGTGGAGGCTGAAGTCCAGGCGCTACCACTTTTAACACTGTTTTTGTCAGAGACCCAGTTGTTTTCAAAACAGCCCCAACATGCCCCAACAGTCGGTGAGTCCTGCTACTGCCAGGTGCCCAACAAGACCGGCTTACGCAAGACTGCGATCCCTTTCCTCTTGCCCCACGAGATTCTTCACTGTCTAGCTGAGTCTTCTTCGTGGCAGGCCGGTGCTTTGCACATATGCAACATCAAATAAGGTTTGAGATTGCAAACGTGTGCCAGTTTGCCCGATCTATGACTGGCCATCGATCTTCAAATGAGATTGTTGCCTTCTGGCGGCATTGCTGCAAACAAGTTGAATGGCGTGATCACCCTGCCCTGACCGACGAAACTGTGCCCAAGGAAAGCCACTTGCTTAATGGGTCTATTTTGCTTTGCTGGCAACCCTTTTCATGTTGGAAGCCCATGGACTCTCCCTTTCCAAAATGCACCTGAGGATTGATACCGATTGCTCTGCACATTGATGGGGCTGAGTTTTATTCCAATTCGGAATACCTGGTCTGGAGTATTGGATCGATCTTCGTTTCTGGCGAGGAGCGGTGTCGGAATCGAAACACGGGTTTGGGATGGTTTGGGATTGGTGGCCACAACCCTTCCTACCAAGTAATTCATCAACATGGTTTAAACCTTTGGCTTTTGAAAGAAAATTGTCAGCCCTTTTCAGTAAATCCAGGCCCGTCAATGTAAAGACTAGAATGTTTGGATTGGAATTCTGATCACATGTGATTGATGTTTGGATTGGTATTCAGATCACATGTGATTGATGTTTGGATTGGTATTCAGATCACATGTGATTGCTGTTTCCCCTTAGGTATGGGATGTGAAATTCCCTTGCTGCATCATCCCGCACCAATGGATGGTGTCCGACAGTGAATCTCAACTGCGTTGGTACCGCCTAGAGTTTCAAGAATTTATGCTTCAACCAGTTTGGGTTCTGCCGTGTTAAGGTCCGAGATTCTTTGTTTAGCCTGGTGGCCTCTGTGCTCTCGTGGTCTATGGGCATTGCTACAAAGGGCGTTGGGCCTACAACTGGCTACAATGGGGAGCAACTTGAAGGGTTTCGAGCTTCCCTGAAAAATGCAACCCTTGCCAAAGGGTGGCGATGTGCTTATTTCGGATTCAAGGCCGATGCCAAAGCGCGGAAAGAGACACATCAGTTTCAGCGGAGCTACTTTCACAATTTTATTTGCGAACGATGCCTAGCACAGAAACCTCGAACTGGTGATGAGCCGCTGCCTTACAAGAACTTTTACGACAGTGCTGGCCATAAACTTACAGCCATCAGTGGCCACCTTATTTGCGCCCGACAATGCAATTGCTCGTGTTGAAGTGTTATGTCTGAACACAACCCTGGTTTTTCTTGTGGCAGGTCATGAAGACTACTTGAGAACTTCTCCAACCCTCAGCCCTTGGGTTTCTATGCCGGGCTGGCATCTCTTCACTTGCTGGCACGACCCTATGCATTGCCTCTTCCTGGGAACATGCAAGCACCTCTTATCATCAACCATGGGGTTTTGGAGTCGCTCAGGGTACTTGGTGGGTGATGATCTGGAGCAACAGTTACGCGGGCTGTCTGCCGAACAGAAAAAAGCTTGTGTTGGGGCTGGATTGCGGGTGCACTTACGGACCTTCACCCCGGCGGGCACAGGGCTGGACACTCCTTCGGAATACCCAGAGCTGGGAAGCAGGTACAAAGCAGCTTCTGTGAAGGCAAGCGTTTGGTTCTTCACAAAGAAAGCTTCAAAATTGGCTCGCAAACATGATGAAGACACTTGCCTAAATGTTTGCCACTTTGTTTTCTCAAGTTGGCCATAAAAACAACAGGGCTTGAGACGGGCAAAACTTAGGATTGGCAGCTCAAGCTGATTTCCGTTTGCTTTTGGTGCTTACAAGAAGGCCTTCGCCTTTTGGATGCTTCTGATATCATCTTATGCCCACATGATGCGGAGGAGCAGGGGTGGCAGCTTATTGAAACAACGATGAAGGGAAACCCACCAAACTAGAAAGAGCAATTCTTGGCTAGCATGCGTAGGAACACATATGCTTAAGTACATCCCAACGTTCCCAATCAACGTATTCTTCCTCCCCCTGTTTGAAAAAAGGGCCCGTCAAACTATAACAAACAGGAATGTATTTTTAAAGGGCCACCATTTTTGCAGGGGGACCTTGTTTGAAAGGGAACGGGGGAAAAGACCTTCTCTGGGAACATGTTTGAAGGAACCTCAGCCGTGACCCTGGCAGGAAATTCACCGGCTTTTCGTGACGCACTTGCAGTGCTGGCAACACATAGCCAGTTTGTGTGAGAGGCGCAAGTGGCGCCTTTTCAAAATCGTTCCGAAACATCATTATTTTCAAGAAATGGCGCAAGATTTGAAGCGGAACCTGGTTAATCCAAACCGGGCTCACGCTTGCTGGTACGATGAATCGTTTTTGGGCTACATCAAAAAGATAGCCACGGCTTGTCACAGCTCTTCCATGATCCAGTCAAGGTTTTGGCAACGGTACCTGTTGCTACTTGCCATGCGATTCGAGGATGCTCGGAGGTGCTCGCGGTGAAAACGTGGGCTCATGCACGCATGCGCTCATGTTTATGCATGTGGGGGCTGTTCTAAACTGAAAGGAAAACGCTGCTGGCCATTTAATTTGAACACCCCCCCCATGTGTCTGTCTGTCGGTCGGTCGGTCGGTCGGCCGGCCGGCCTGTCTGTCTGTCTGTCTGTCTGTCATTCTGTGTCTCTGCGCGTGCAGGTGTGTGTGTGTGTGCGTTTTTGTGTTTCAATGTGTGTGTGTATGTCTCCGTGTGCGCTCGTGCGTGTCTGGTGTGCGCGCGTGCGTGCGTGCGTGCTTGCTCGTCTGTGTGCCTGTGTGCCTGTGTGCCTGTGTGCCTGTGTCTCTGTGTGTCTCTGTGCGGGTTTTTGTTTGCGTGTGTGCGTGTGTGCCCGCTTGTGTCTGCGCGTGCGCGTGCGTTGGCGCGCGTGTGCATGTGTGTGTGTGTGTGTCTGCGGGTGTGGGTGTGCGCGTGTGTCTGTGTGTGTGTGTGTGTTTGTGTGTGTGTGAGTCGCTGCGTGAGTGCGGGCGTGTCGTCGCATGTGTGTGTGTGGGTGTCTGCATGTCTGTCGGTTGCTTCTGCGTGTGTGTGTGTGTGTGCGTGCTGGTTTTGTTTTGTTTGTTGCTTTTGTTTGTTGCTGCATTTGCTTGTTTTTTTGTTTGTTTGTTTGTTTGTTTGTTTGTTTGTTTGTTTGTTGTTGGCTTGCTTGCTTGCTTGCTTGCTTGCTTGCTTGTTTGTTTTGTTTGTTTGTTTGTTTTGTTTTGTTTGTTTGTTTGTTTGTTTGTTTGTTTGTTTGTTTGTTTGGTTGCTTGTGTGTTTGTTTGTGTGTGTTTCTTTGTTTGTTTGTTTGTTTGAATGTTTGTTTGTTTGTTTGTATGTTTGTTTGTTTGCTTGTTGGTTTAATTGTTTGTTTGGTTTGTTTGGTTTGTTTGTCTGTTTGTTCGTCGGTTGGTTGGTTTTTGGTTGCTTGCTTGCTTGTATGTTTGTTCGTTTTTGTGTTTTCTTTTTTTGTTTGTTTGGTTGTGTTTCCGTTTATTTGTTTGGTTCGTTGGGCACGGTTTTGCCATGAAAGATTCCGGGTTTGATGGAGCCCTGTGGTAGAACGCTGCATTTTGTTTTAGCGTTTAACTTTTTTGTTGTGTTTTTTTGTTTGGCTCAAGCGCTCCTTGTGGCGCGAGTGGTCAAGTCAAGCCTGCTTGTGTACCACTCCGCCAACGACAGCGCCGCCCTCGTAGAGCAGCCAGTGTTCGGCGCCGACGATAGCTGCCGCCCTCGTTGAGCTGCCACCGTTCGGCGCCAACGACAGCTGCCCACGCTGCAGCTGTCGCCATTCAAACGACGTCTGTGTCGTGCTCGCCGACGCATGTTGAAGAAATACGAGAGCTGTCCACTACTTATCGTGGACTGGCGCATCTTCAAAACTGCAATCTACCGGAAAAAGTTGTAAGTTTTCCATAAAATGATGCGCAGAGATGTCACGGTTATGCAGTCGCAGCTCTCGTGCAGTGACAGCAGGCTATCGGTATGTATGCCTAACAGCGATCGTAGAATATGTCAGGGTTCCGAGAGTCTCGGAGACTCACGAGAGCTGCACGATACCCACGACAGCTGCCGTCTCGGTCAGCTTGGATGTGTTGCCGCAGCTGTCCAGAGGAGAGCTGCGGAGCGTTACGGTAGGTTGCGCGGCACGGGATCAGAGCTTGGGATCGTCTGACACGGTTCAACGAGGAACTTTGGGTGCCTGAGAGTCTTGGCAGGCTTTGGGTTTTTTCATTCTGCACACTTTCGCGGGCGTGTCCACACACGGGACTATGCGCGAATGTAATACATGTTCGACTCGGAGGCTTTCGAAGTTTCGCGTTGCCTTACTGTCTTGGCTGGCTTATTCCTTTTCGATCGAGCTTCGGCGCTAGATCAGCTGGCGAACGCTCAGGTTGCGTGACCAGGTATGGGATTTGCGTAATGGGTTGCGTCAGCGGGCTTGGAAGGGTCAGGCGGCTGGACGGTGACGCAATGACGCCTAGAGTCTTGTGCACGTTGGGGCGCCGCGAGTTCTGCGCTCTTGTGTGGGCAAAACACTCGCAGGGCAATGTGCGAAGATACCACTTGCAGGTTGCGCGGCACAGGTTCAGAGCTTTGCGTCGCTTTGCACGGTCCAAAGAGGAAGCGTTGGCGCCCTAGAGTCTTGGAAGGCTTTGGGCTTTTGCTTTCTGCACACTTGTGCTGCAAGCAGTGCGCGAAAAAGGAACGAGGACGCTGGACTTGTACAGTCTGCGCAGGGCGGCTGCTGCGTAGCTTCTTCTCGCGATTCCAAAGACGCCACCCCAAAACTCGCAATGGCACGATAACGTGCAACGACTGCCTCCAGCAGCAGATGACGACAGCCACCGCGACAAGTGCGGTGCAAAGACCTGCGCGAAGACGTGAGGCGTCCCTCCTGAATTCCGCTGAGGCGTGTAAGCCGTTCTCCTGCCGCACCGCAGCTGCGCTGCTGGCGAAGTTCACTCCGAAGTTGTTCCAGTGAGAGAGGCAAATGAACGGACCGGGGGTTACCCCGGAGTTCGTTTTGACGTATGCATGGTCACACGCACATGGCGCCGTTCGGCGAGAGTGCGTCATCTCTGCTGCAAACAGTTGTGACCTAGTGTCTTCATGTGGACTTTTCCAGTAGGTATGTTGGACAGCGTTACCCCGACTAACGGGATTTTAATGCCCGGGATGTCGCGCAACTGCCTATGTGACATTGCGCCACCGCTGATGGCGGTAGTGTCCAGCTGTTTGCGGACGAGTGTGAGCTCTATATCCTGCCAGTGAACCGCACGTTCCCTCCGTCATGTGACGAACTCCACGTGAGGGGGGTGTGAGGAGCCATGTGTTTGTTGTGATAGCCGGTGCACCGCGTCAGTGGTCGAGTTCGGAATATCTGCTGTGAACACAGGGGGCTCCGCGCATGTTTTCATCATCACCACGACGATCCTTCGATCAACTATACGCACCCTCTGCATCTCCAATCTCATCATCACCGTTATCATCGTCGATGATAACCATCATCGTGCATCCTCTGCATCACCAACAGTCATGATGATAATGATGATTAAAGGATCATCATCATAGCCGTCGCCCATGATCCTCATCATCACCGTTAGCATCATCGATGATAACCATCATCGTGCATCCTCTGCATCACCAACAGTCATGATGATAATGATGACTACGCACCCTCTGCATTTTTAATCGGCTCTACCGGGACTTTTGAATCGTATATGAAAAAGATAAGGATCGTCATGATAGCCGTGGCCCATCATCGTCATCATCACGGTTATCATCATCGATGATAACCATCATCATGCATCCTCTGCATCACCAACAGTCATGATGATAACGATGACTACGCATCCTCTGCATCTCCAATCGGCTCTAACGGCACTTTTGAATCGTATATGAAAAAGATAAGGATCGTCATCATAGCTGTCGCCCATCATCGTCATCATCACCGTTCTCATCATCGATGATAACCATCATCGTGCATCCTCTGCATCACCAACAGTCATGATGCTAATGATGACTACGCGCCCTCTGCATCTCCAATCTCATCATCACCGTTATCATCGTCGATGATAACCATCATCGTGCATCCTCTGCATCGCCAGCAGTCATGATGATAATGATGATTAAAGGATCGTCCTCATAGCCGTTGCCCATGATAGTCATCATCACCGTTATCATCATCGATGATAACCATCATCGTGCATCCTCTGCATCGCTAACAGTCATGATGATAACGATGACTACGCACCCTCTGCATCTCCAATCGGCTCTAACGGGACTTTTGAATCGTATATGAAAAAGATAAGGACCCTCATCATAGCCGTGGCCCATCAGCGTCATCATCACGGTTATCATCATCGATGATAACCATCATCGTGCATCCTCTGCATCACCAACAGTCATGATGATAATGATGACTGCGCATCCTCTGCATCTCCAATCGACTCTAACGGCACTTTTGAATCGTATATGAAAAAGATAAGGATCGTCGTCATAGCCGTCGCCCATCATCGTCAGCATCACCGTTATCATCATCCATGATAACCATCCTCGTGCATCCTCTGCATCACCAACAGTCATAGTGATAATGATGACTACGCACCCTCTGAATTTCCAATCTCATCATCACCGTTATCATCATCGATGATAACCCTCATCGTGCATCCTCATCGATGATAACCATCATCGTGCATCCTCTGCATCACCAACAGTCATGATGAAAAAAATGATTACGCACCCTCTGCATCTCCAATCGGCTCTAACGGCACTTTTGAATCGTATATGAAAAAGATAAGGATCGTCATCATAGCCGTCGCCCATTATTGTCATCATCACCGTTCTCATCATCGATGATAACCATCATCGTGCATCCTTTGCATCACCAACAGTCATGATGATAATGATGACTACGCACCCTCTGCATCTCCAATCTCATCATCACCGTTATCATCATCGATGATAACCGTCATCGTGCATCCTCATTGACGATAACCATCATCGTGCATCCTTTGCGTCACCAACAGTCATGATGATAACGATGACTACGCATCCTCTGCATCTCCAATCGGCTCTCGGCACTTTTGAATCGTATGTAAAAAAGGATAAGGATCGTCATCATAGCCGTCGCCCATCCTCGTCATCACCACCGTTATCATCATCGGTGATAACCATCATCGTGCATCCTCTGCATCACCAACAGTCATGATGATAATGATGACTACGCGCCCTCTGCATCTCCAATCTCATCATCACCGTTATCATCATCGATGATAACCATCATCGTGCATCCTCTGCATCACCAACAGTCATGATGATAATGATGACGATGCATCCTCTGCATCTCCAATCGGCTCTAACGGCACTTTTGAATCGTATAAGAAAAAGATAAGGATCGTCATCATAACCGTCGCCCATTATTGTCATCATCACCGTTCTCATCATCGAGGATAACCATCATCGTGTATCCTCTGCATCACCAACAGTGATGATGATAGTGACTCACCGTTATCATCATCGATGATAACCATCATCCAACAGTCATGATGATAACGATGACTACGCATCCTCTGCATCTCCAATCGGCTCGCCGTCGCCCATCATCGTCATCATCACCGTTATCATCATCGATGATAACCATCATCGTGCATCCTCTGCATCGCCAACAGTCATGATGATAATGATGACTACGCACCCTCTGCATCTCCAATCGGCTCTAACGGGACTTTTGAATTATATGAAAAAGATAAGGATCCTCATCATAGCCGTCGCCCATCATCGTCACCATCGCCGTTCTCATCATCGATGATAACCATCATCGTGCATCCTCTGCATCACCAACAGTCATGATGCTAATGATGACTACGCGCCCTCTGCATCTCCAATCTCATCATCACCGTTATCATCGTCGATGACAACCTTCATCGTGCATCCTCTGCATCGCCAACAGTCGTGATGATAATGATGATTAAAGGATCTTCATCATAGCCGTCGCCCATGGATGATGATGATGATGATGGTGGTGCTGATGATGATGATGATGATAATAATGATATGAAAAAGAGAAGGATCGTCGTCATGGCCGTCGCCCATCATCGTCATCATCACCCTTATCGTCATCGATGATAACCATCATCGTGCATCCTCTGCATCACCAACAGCCATGATGATAATGATGACTACGCATCCTCTGCATCTCCAATCGGCTCTAATCATGGCCGTCGCCCATCATCGTCATCATCACCGTTATCATCATCGATGATAACCATCATCGTGCATCCTCTGCATCACCAACAGTCATGATGATAACGATGACTACGCACCCTCTGCACCTCCAATCTCATCATCATGATAATCATGCCCACGCATCTTTTGCATCACCAATGGGCTCTAACGCCACACTTGAAATGTATACTGTACAAAGACATGGTGACGACTACGTATCAGCATCACCAGCAGTCCTCATGATAATCATGTCCACGCATGATGATGATGGTGATGATGATGATGGCGGTGCTGATGATGATGATGATGATGATGATAACTATCATCGTAGCATCCTCTGCATCTCCAATGGTGATGATAACTATCATCGTAGCAACGCATCCGCAGCACCCTTCCCGTGCGCCTCCCCCTTTCAGGAGCAGGGGTCGGCGGATATATATATATATATATATATTACAAGAGAGGTGGTCCAGATGCAACAGTTGTCAGATGACCGGCTGGTCGAAATCCTCAACTTTTCTGGTTGCGGGGCCAAGGCCGGAGACACCCTCCGTTTGTGGCTTGTGTTCAAGGGTGCCTTGCCAGACTCATGGAACCCCTCGTGCCATGGACACCTGGAGGTCATTTTGCGAGCAGAGGGGGGGGGTTGCGAAATCCAAGAGTCATCATGACCCCAGCCTTCTTTGAGGGTAATTATTGGTTTTGGGTTCTTCTCTAGGTGTCCATGGCCCCTCCCGCTGCGTCTACCTTTGAGAGTGCCGAGGAGCAGGTGGCATCCGTGGACAACGGCTGGAATCTGCATGCGGCACCACAGGTCACCGCAGGAGAGATGGCGAAATCTGACCAAATGAGCGTGAGGTTTCCGGCCACCTTGAACCAACAGGGAAGTGGGAGAATAGAGCAGCAGGCGTGGGACTCTTTGTCGTTTTGCCCAGTGCGGGGGACGTTTTGTGTTTAAAGCATTTGCCACCTTGCTGTGTTGGGGCTCTCCATCCGAGGGTCCTATCTTAGACAAGCCCTAAGCCTTCGGCCAGTGGCTTCCTGGAGGTGCGCCAAGCTTCCAAAAAGGAAAACCAACAGAGAAGTCCCGTGCTCAAGCGATGCTGGCATGGAAGTTTGGAGCCCTGCCAAATGCAGGCCTGACATGTGTTGAGTCCTTTGTGGATGCCCCCAAAGTCAGAGTGCTAAGCGGGTGCGACTCTGCAAAGCGTGGTGGAACCTACGGTGGGCATGGTTTCGAAGAACGCAGCTTTTGATATCTTTTGATGGTCATGATTGAATAAACCTTGCAACTCATGAAGGTGTGTGCGTGTGTGTGTGTGTGTGTGTGTGTGTGTGTGTGTGTGTGTGTGTGTGTGTGTGTGTGTGTGTGTGTGTGTGTGTGTGTGTGTGTGTGTGTGTGTGTGTGTGTGTGTGTGTGTGTGTGTGTGTGTGTGTGTGTGTGTGTGTGTGTGTGTGTGTGTGTGTGTGTGTGTGTGTGTGTGTGTGTGTGTGTGTGTGTGTGTGTGTGTGTGTGTGTGTGTGTGTGTGTGTGTGTGTGTGTGTGTGTGTGTGTGTGTGTGTGTGTGTGTGTGTTTGTGCGTGTGTTTCCCCAGATGTGAATGATCCGGGCCCCTTTAAAGGGGACACGCCCCCCCCATTTTCCGAGTTGGTTCCCAGGCCCCTGCTGCCAGGACAACGGGGAGACGAGATCGTTTGGGTCGACGAAGAGGTGGCCGCAGCTGGGAATCAAACACAAGCCCTTCCTCTCTCGCCGCATTTGCTGAGGGTCATGTGGTTGGGTTTTGCTTGTGGGCAGAGCTGCCAACTTTTTAAAGACCCCCATCGAGTTCCATGTGAACTGCTGTAGCTGTTTGCGTTCCATGTTAATCTGTATAGCTTTTTGGTATTGGACATTTCTCCTGGTAAGGAGGCAAGTGCCTTGCGGGATACCGTTTTGTTTTGTCAACGCAGCACTGAGGTGTTGCGCTACCAAGCCCCGGCAGTGGGGCGTGCTGTGGAACAGCTCAAGGTGCGAGGTTTGGAAGGGGTGACATGTAAAGGTGCTTTGAGCCATGCGTTTTCTTTTTTGCCTTTGCACCCAGTCGAGAGACAGGCACTTGCCATGTAAAGCTTGTAAAGCTGCATGCTCCAGCCTTCTCAACACTTAATAAAGCATCTTAAAGCGTTGCGCACATGCCCTCCACTGTGTCCTCTTGTGGGACCTTTGACCGGAAAAGCTTGTTAACACAATGTCCAGCAAGCGGTCGTGGTAGCATACCGGCTCGGCGCATCCTAAAGCCGATGGCCTCAGGCTTGGCATCCCACAGGCCACATTCCGCACGTAGCCATACGGATTTCCAAAAAATAAGTTTGTGAAGGGCCAGCACATGCACCCACACCCACGCGCACACACCCACACTGAATGGATTTACGCGAGAGCGCACACAGATTCAATCAATCCCACATGCACATCATCACACGATCACCTCCACGTATCCGGAACACAACAATACAAAGATGCATAGACACAAACACCTAAGCACGCTAGCTCAAAATCGCGCACACACACACAGGCCTGCGCACACTTTATTGCGCACTTGTCGCACAGTAATTGTCGACTCTTTGGCAGAGTTTGTTTATTTTCCCGTGCTCGGTTGGTGCAGGCGCTTGCTGCAGCTTTGAACCCGGCGATGTCCGAACGCCATCGGAAGCTGGCGGCGGCGGGAGACGGAGCGCACACGCTGCTTGGCTCAGATTGGAGGGACCGAGGCTTTCCGATTGGATGCCGGCTTTGGCTTTTCAATCGGCCCTTTGCTACCAGTAGCGAAACCTACAGCCTTGGCAGCTGGTTGTTTGCTGTCTAGAGGCCCGGTGACTGAGGAGGTTTAGTTTGTGCCTGAGCCAACGTTTTTGGGGCCATGCAACACCACCCCATTTTGACACCTAAATGAACATTTGGTCACACCGATTGTTTATTTATCCTTCCTGCTTTCTGAGAAATAGTCACGAGTCATGACCGGTGAATATCTAGTCTTGTGGTGCCAGCAATGGAAATCCCCGTTGTTCAGTGGCACTCTTGACCAATTTTGCTGGTGCTCCACGCTTAAGATCGAATCAACGCCAAAAAGGGTTCAGGTTTTTGCCAGAGTCACTGGTTGCAGCTGGGAAACTTTGCTCTTGGCGGCCCATGTGGCCGGCTTTTCGCCCGAGGCTCCAGCCAAAAGCCCCAGCTTCGGAGGATGCAGTTCTGACGGTGTCCCCGCGGGCGCAACTGGCAAGCTACCGCGGTGAGACGGGCTACGTTTGCCACCAGGACAACCGCTTCAGGACACGCGCATGCTCGGGCTCCGTTAGGGACGAAAGCCTCGAGCATAGTTTCGAACAATTCAAATGTCCTCGATGGATGTGCCTGACTTAAGGCTCAAGCCAGCTTACTGGGGATTGGGGCTGGGGGCACCGCCCAGTAGGCAGAAGTCCTGTCAAAGACGCTCGCTCGGTTTTCAAGAAGGATGCTCTGCCTGTCGTCACCGAATTTTCAGTACTTTGGGAAATTCTGGGGACGCGAAAGCTATTGGACCTCAAGTTGGGGCAACAGCAACCCTATAGCTGGCCTGCTTTGAGCCGCGTTCGAGATCCCATAGCAGCCTCTGGTTGTTTGGCTGTGTCGTGGAGTGACCCTCAAAACGCATGCGTTTCTCGGAGCCCCAGTGGGCCCCAGTCGGATGTCGCGCCCCGAAAAGAAGCTGAAACAGTTGTGGGGCCAGGCCAAGCCACGGCACCCGTCTCAACAGCCGGGAGCTCACCGCCATTTTGTACGCCAACAAAAACTGGCGCCCAGAAGATGCCCAGCCAAAGCGCCGAAGGGGGCGGGCAGTCTCACCTGGGAAATTCGGACCCACATGAGCGTCGAGCCTCAAATTCCTTTGATAACTTCCATTGTTGTGGGCCCAAATGTCGGAATACCTGCAAGGAGCCCCGCCTTTGTGAACAACCCTTGGCATCCTGACACATTGAAAACCGGACTTAGACTCTGTTCTGCAATCTCCTGCTTTAGGCTGTTTCTTTGACGTGGGCGGTCCAAATGCAATAGGGCCTCATCCTTCTCCCCGAAAGAGGGGATGGCCACTTACGAGATGGGCGTTTGAGGTGAATGCTGTTTGTTGGGGGTGATGCGGCTGCGAAAGAGAGAGACAGATAGATATCTAGGTGGATAGATAGATAAACTTTTAGCTGGATACATGGACAAGATAGATAGATAGATAGATAGGTAGATGAATAGTTACATAGCTCGATTGGTAGATAGATACATAGTTACATTTAGATATAGTTATAAATTATACAGATAGATACGATAGATGATACGCAGCAGATAGACAAGACAAACAAGATATCCAAATCGATAAGACAGATAAAAGTTCGATTAGGTTGCTCGGTTGGTTGGCTGATACATTGATACGTAGATACGTAGGTAGACGGCAAAGAGATGCAGAAAGAGAAGGACAGCAACATGAAAAAATAGAAAGCACAAAGAAGGAAGGAAAGACCCAAAGATACATATGATTTGGCTCGCCTTTGTGAAGCTTTTGCCCACCGGCTTCACCGGCTCACTGGCAGCCCGGGCGTGTGTGCGTGTGTGTGCGTGTCTGCGTGCGTGCGTGGGTGCGTGGGTGCGTGGGTGCGTGGGTGCGTGGGTGCGTGGGTGCGTGGGTGCGTGGGTGCGTGGGTGTGTGTGGGGTGTGTGGGTGTGTGTGGGTGTGTGTGGGTGTGTGTGGGTGTGTGTGGGTGTGTGTGGGTGTGTGTGGGTGTGTGTGGGTGCGTGGGTGCGTGGGTGCGTGGGTGCGTGGGTGCGTGGGTGCCCGGTGGTGGTGCGTGGTGCCGTGGGAGCGTGGTGTGCAGTGGCGGTGAGTTGGAGTGCGTGGTTGGCGTGGGTGCGTGGGTGCGGTTGGGGTGCGTGTGGGGGTGCGTGGGTGCGGTCTGGGTGCGTGGGTGGCGTGGGTCTTGGGGTGCGTGATGTTGCGTGGAGTGCGTGGGTTGCGTGGGTGCGTGTGTGGAAGGGGTGCGGTGGGTTGTGCGTTGGGTGCGTTGGGTGCTGTGGGTGTGAGCGTGGTGTGCTGTGGGTGGTCCGTGGGTGTGTGGGTGCGTGGGGTGCGTGGGTTTGCGTGGTAGTGCGTGGGTGTGCGTGAGGTGCGTAGGGGTGCGTTGGTGTGGGTGGGTGTGGGTGGGTGGGTTTGGGTGGTTTGGGTGGGTGGGTTTGGGTGGGTGGGTTTGGGTGGGTGGGTGGGTGGGTGGGTGGGTGGGTGGGTGGGTGGGTGGGTGGGTGGGTGGGTGGGTGGGTGGGTGGGTGGGTGGGTGGGTGGGTGGGTGGGTGGGTGGGTGGGTGGGTGGGTGGGTGGGTGGGTGCGCGCGTGCGTGTGTGCGTTCGCGCGTGCGCGTTCGGCAGTCGTTGCACGCAAAGCTCACCCATCGTGCACGCCAACCTTTTCTGAAAGACTGAAGGTATGGAACCAATCTGTACGAACGCATAGGCACTGACGCTTTGGTGGTGGGTCGCCCATGTTACCACAATGACACACTCAGCTTTCAACTTGAACCGAGGAAGGTGGCGCTTTGCGGATTTTTCCGCACTCGGAGTCGCTGGAAGCCGCGCCGGGCGATGAGCACCCCGCAGTGGAAATCACACCGGCCGCCGGAACTCTGGTGCGACGCCCAGACCGGCAGGGTGTTTCGAGAGAAGTCGGCAGATCCTGGCAGATGGTTAACCATTGCAAATCGGACCATCGAGCTACTCCACTAAATATGGGGCAGAACGTTTGCACTTGTTTCCTCACTGACGAGCCAAGATCTTGGATGCATGAGGTGGTCTTCTGTTCCGAGCTCTGGCATGAAGTCCAGCCCGCGCATCGTCCCCGCCGCGCGCTGACCCTCTGGATTCTGCGCCCGGAAGAGGAGGAGAGTTGGATGCCCGGCGTGTTTTGAGCCAACAACACGAGCCCAACGGCCCGAAGAGTCGCCGCCGGCTCGTCGGCACCAGAACGACGGCGAAGCAGCCTCGACCCGAAGAGAGGTGCACGGAGGTGAGTTAGCCGCGGCCAAGCAGCTCCAGGTGTTCGTCGCAGACAGGTAGGCACTGCTGTCAACAGCCGGAGGTTTGGAACTTCCACCAGCAAGCCAGTTAGCAGCCAGTTCCTCATGCGAGTTGGGCCAAAATCAAGCGAGAAATCAGGAAGCTCATAAACGTGATTGCAAGCTGCATGTGCCGTTCCCGTGGCTTTGGCTCCAAGCTCGGTCTGTCGTTACATGGATGCTTTCGGTATCGGTTTCAGCCGCTTTCAGTCACCTTAAACGTTGCCAGCAACGTAGTTAGCACAAGCGAAGCTGGAAGACTTGCCCTCACAGCAGTGCATCCAAGTCTTGCGGGCCTGGGTTCTAGCGATGCTCGGCCAGCAGGGTTGGTGAGGGCAATCCGTTTTTTGAGTTCCAGACTCGAAGGCTCAGTGGCTGTTTTGTTTGATTTGAATCCAGAAATTGTGATACCCCTGCAGAACACCAAAAAATGGCAGCTGCTTGCGAAGCCGCGGTGGTTCTAGGGAGGGTTCAGGGCCTGCTGAGTTTCATGAGCTACGGATGCCACAAAGGTTGCAAGTAAGACACAAGGAAGCCAAGGACGTCATTTTTCATGGTGTTGTGGTTGGAGTGTGGTTGGTCTACTTACTGAGTTGGCATTTGCTGTACCCCACTTTTGCCCGAGGATTCACATATGCCGCTTGGCTGCAGCTGGTCAAGGACCATCACCGAACTCCATTGATCTTACTCCGGAGAACTGCGCAGGACCATACTATTTTGAGGAATCCCACCCCCAGGAAAAGGACTCATTCTCCACTGAAGCGGGAAGCACGCCTTGTGTGGCGTTTTTTATGGCAACCGCCATCGCTGACTGTGGCTGGTCATGCCAAGGCCTGTTTGGAACGACTCGCCGTCAAGGCCATGAGCGTGCGTTGCAGGGGAGCTGCAACTGCAAGTCTCGTTTTACAAAATCAAAGAAACTGGATCAAAGATTGGAGAGGCCGTTTCTTGCTTCTCAGTGGAATGAGACATGTAATGAACCTGGGGATTCGCTGAAAGGACACCAGTTGGATGTTTCTTTTTTTGGCATTTGGTGGCTCGCAGGTCACCTCGCCGGCGCAGGTCCCCTTCACGGGACAGGCGAAGCGGACAGACCCTGGGCTCTTCGTGGGGTACCGAAGGTCGCCGTTCAAAATCCGTAGGCTGCAGAAAATGCAAGTCCGCCTTGGAAATCTTAAGTGCTGGTGAATTCCAAAGTGGGAGGATCCATGACCCATTTGGCGTGTTCAAGGTGAATTCGATGGATCCCCGTGCCAGATGTTGGCGGTTTCAAGATTGGTGCTTCGTGGATTGCAGGTTGGGAAGTTCGGGACTCGGGACCTGACTTGAAAACCCCCTGACTTGAAAACCCTCTTTGCACAAACTGGGGATTCTTGAAAGCTTCGAAAGTAAGCTCACCGCAAACCAAGATTTGTGAGACTGACAACTTCGCCAACAAAAATATATATATACACTATATATATATATATATATATATATATATATAATATGTGTTTTGTTCACGTGTTGTTTCATCATGTGGCAAAACGG